AAACTCATTCTATGAAGCCAGCATAACCCTGATACCAAAACCAGGCAAAGACACCACAAAAAAAGAAAATTACAGATCAATATCTCTCATGAATATAGATGCAAAAATTCTCAACAAAATTCTAGTCATCGAATTCAGCATCATATCAAAAAAATAATAAACCATGACCAGGTAGGGTTCATACCAGGTATGCAAAGATGGTTGAACATTAGAAAATCAATCAACATAATCCACCACATAAATAAAAGAATCACATGATCATCTCAATTGACGCAGAAAAGGCTTTCAACAAAGTCCAACACCCATTCCTGCTAAAAACTCTATAAAATAGGTATAGAAGGAAAATTCCTCAACATAATAAAAGGTATCTGTACAAAACCAACAGCCAACATCATTCTTTAATTTTTTTTTTATTGCTGTAGTTTAAATAAAGTTTACATTTCAAGTTAGTCTCCCATACAAAAATTTATACATACATTGTTATGTGATCCTAACTGCTCTCCCCATACTGCAACAGCACATTCCTCCTTTCCACCCCTGATTCCCCATGTCCATTCAACCAGCTCCAAACTCTCTCTGCCTTCCCATCTCACCTCCGGACAGAAGGTGCCAGTTTAGTCTCTTGTATCTACTTGAGCTAAGAGACACACTCCTCACGACAATCACTTTATGTCCCACAGTCCAGTCTAATCCATGTCTGAAGAGTTGGCCTCGGAAATTGTTTTAGTTCTGGGCTGATAGAGAATCCAGGGAACATGCTTTCCGGGGTTCCTCCAGTCTCAGTCAGACCATTAAGTCTCGTCTTCTTACTAGAATTTGAATTCTGCACCCCACCTTTCTTCTGCTCCATCAAGGACTCCCTGTTGTGTTCCCTGTCAGGGGGGTCACTGGTGGTAGCTGGGCACCATCTACTTCTTCTGGTCTCAGGCTGATGAAGTCTCTGGTTTATGTGGTCCTTTCTGTCTCTTGGGATAATACTCTCCTTGTGTCTTTGGTGTTCTTCATTCTCCTTTACTCCAGGTGGTTGGGACCAACTGATGTATCTTAGATGGCTGCTTGCAAGCTTTTATGACCCCAGACACTACTCACCAAAGTAGTATGCAGAACATTCTCTTAATAAGCTCTGTTATGCTAATTGACCTAGATGTCCCCTGAAAGCAAGCCAACATCATTCTTAATGGAGAGAAACTGAAAATATTTCCCTTGAGAACAGGAACAAGACAAGGACGTCCTTTATCACCACTCCTATTTAATATTGTGCTGGAAGTCCTAGCTAGAGCAATAAGGCAAGAAAAAGAAATAAAGAGCATCCAAATTGGTAATGAAGAAGTAAAACTGTTCCTATTTGCAGATGATATGATAGTATATATAGAAAACCCAAAAGACTCCACGAGAAAAATACTAGAACTAATAGAAAGATTCAGCAGAGTAGCAGGATACAAGATAAACATACAAAAATCAGTTGGATTCCTATACACCAACAAAGAGAACAACAAAAAGGAAATCAGGAAAACAATATCATTTATGATAGCCCCTTAAGAAAAAAAAAACTTAGGAATAAATCTAACCAGGGATGTAAAAGACATATATAAAGAAAACTACAAAACACTACTGCAAGAAACCAAAAAAAAATCTACAAAAATGGAAAAATATACCAGGCTCATGGACGGGTAAACTCAACATTGTGAAAATGACAACTCACCAAAAGCAATCTACAAATACAATGCAATCTCGATCCACGTACCAACAACATTCTTTAAAGAGATGGCAAAAGCAATCATTAACTTTATATGGAAAGGGAAGAGGCCCCGGATAAGTAAGGCATTATTGAAGAAGAAGAAGAAAATAGGAGGACTGGCACTACCTGACCTCAGAACCTGCTATACAGCTACAGTAGTCAAAACAGCCTGGTACTGGTACAAGGACAGATACATTGACCAATGGAACAGAATCTAGAACCTAGACGTAAATCCATCCACCTGCGCTCACCTGATCTTCAACAAGGGCCCAAAGTCCATCAAACGGGGAAAAGACAGTCTGTTTAACAAATGGTGCTGGCAAAATTGGATGTCCATCTGCAAAAAAATGCAACAGGACCCATACCTCACACCATACACAAAAACTAATTCAAAACAGATCAAAGACCTAAATATAAAACCAAAAACTATAAAGATCATAGAAGAAAAAATAGGATCAACAC